CCCCCGATTTCTCCATCCCACCCTCATTCTATCCGGAACCAACAAAAAACTATAATACCGCCGCTCTCTTCAAACTGTTTTTACTTGGGTCTGAGGGATCCTATCGTACTTGGGCCCAGCTAGATGCAGGTGTTATGCTAAAGAAGGATATTATAATTTGCCCTAATGACATGAATAAAGATAGAGCAATGGCAGAAAACATGCTCTGAAAACAAGCATGAAATCACAGAAACCCCTAAAATAATGCTCCTCTATGATAATAATTGTTTTGTTTGAGATTCGTGAACATTTTGTGTTTGACCCATTTTTGCGACACCTTTTGTCGTCTTTCTCACCTCTGTCCTGTGTCACAGGTCGCGGCTTCCGGTGTTTCGAAAATACCGTGTCCCCGTTCTCTCCCTCTCTCAGGTGCTGGGAAAATCGCCATGATGGAGCGGGACGCGGAAGTGCCCCTTTACAGCGACACACTTCTGTAAAGTTCTAACGAGTTTCAGGCCTTCGGAAGATTTCAGATACTTTATTATCAGTTTTCATGAACGTATTGTTGTGCGGAATAGTGAATAGTGCGTTTTTGACTTTAGAAGGCAGTTTACCTGCTGCGTCATTTTTGGAGTTCTGACTCAAGCTTCACTTCCTTATTCTAGGCCAATACAAGACAGACAACTTTTTGTGGACGATCGTTGTTTGATTTTGTATTTTCTAGAACAGTTTGATTTACATTTCAGGTTAAAATCACAGTTTTGACATCCCCACACGCTTTGGTCTGTATAGATCTAGATTCTGAAATCTTTGAGGGATCCGCGTGATCGTAAAACTGAGGATTGAGGAAAGTGTCCCCTCTGCCTCTACTTCATTGTCAAGTGAGTTCAGTAGTGCTGCTGCTGAGCCTCTTATAAAAACCAAACATGAATTCAACTGTGAAAGTATGTATGTTCTTGGTTGTGTTTTGCTGGGGAGTGTATCTTGTGAGTCCAACTCCGTACACCTGGATGGAGAGAGATTCCTGGGACATAATCAATGAGCGCTTTTCCAATGTTACTGCTCAGAATTGTCGCTCAAAACACAAGGAGGAGCTCATGTTGCCAGTGGACTCGGTGGCAGCAGTGCCCAAGTACAATCAACTGCTCAGCTCCAAGACCTATTCAAACAGGTAAAGTGCACTCATCATGTGATTGTCTATCTTTATTGACTTTATTGTTTCCAAGGGGTAAAATACTAAAACGAAGTGACTATTTCTCCGAACGTTCGGAGAAATAGTGCCAATCTTTATTTCTCCGAACGGTTTCTGGCTTCCGGTCTCGTGATTTTTTGCCTATTTATTGCGAGAGTTCAGCGCCAACTTTCATTCTGCCTCTCGTCTGGGAAGGAACACCGCATGGCAACGCCCGCCTACAGACAACCTTCTGTAACACCCACCACACACCCACCACCATCATGCACATCACATGTACACACACAAACTACATACACACACTAACTAAACATGATCAGTGGGCAACTTTTGAACGTATGACGAGCTGAGCTGTGGATGGAGAGACAGTGTGAGTGACAGAGC